CCCCAAAACCCCAAAACCCCATAGGCAATAAATTTAAGAATCTATTGAAAATACAATAATAATTACGTAATAAATAGCTTCAAAAATAATCAAACAATGAGAATTTTTGAGAGGTTGTAGTATCTATCAGGATATTTGCTGTTTCTGGCGCTAGTTAGTGAGTACCAGCAGATCCAATTACTTGGCTTTAGTCTAATCTTAGTTATGATAGCTCTCGGAATTTACGTTGAAGGAATCAGGTTTACGTAGTTTCCCTTTTTCATTAGTTTCATTTTTGTTTCAATTACATATTCTGTCTTTAACTACTACTACTATTCTGGAGAGCAGCATTACCCAATATACCTATCCTTGATTTTGCTATTTGGAGATGCGATATCAACATTTGTGATGATTATCAAGGGAGAGTGTGACTTTTCTAGATTCCCTATCACGGGACCCTACTAAGTTGGATACAAAGAATTTAGAACATCAATCCATGACAATGAAGTTTCTGTCTTTTACCCAGTTGATCGAGAGGATTATATCTAAAACATAAATAAAAATAACGCTTTATAATAAAGACACGGTGACAAGACTATTAAAGGTCTTGCAAAAGCAAGTGTAGCTTACGGCAGAGAAGATCACTTACCATTGATCTTCTTTAGATATCTTAAATTCGTAAAGATGAACTGTTTGGAAAATGCACCTCTCTCAAAAGATTTCATTTCTGATAATATTAGACCTGACAGGATGCCTGCTCTACAAAAAACATTGATCCCCATTGTTTTTAGTCATGGTCTGAGCAGTAATCGTAATTGGAATAGTGGAACTTGCAGAGACTTAGCTAGTCATGGATATCTTGTGTTTGCAATTGATCACAGAGATGAAACTTCACACTATGTTGAAACAAAAGATGGAAAAGGTATGTATTATAACAACCTCATGTCCTCGCATGATCTAGAAAACCGTAGTAACTAGCTAAGAATTAGAGAGAAGGAGTTGATAGCTCTCATAGATGAAATCTTTGAGCCTGAGATGTTGAACACCAAAAAATTAGGCTTTCCCTCTTCTATTAAAATTGAACATGAAAAAGTCATCACTGCAGGCCACTCTTTCGGAGGTATGACAGCCATAGCCACTGCTCAATTAGATTAGAGAGTAAGGGCGTGTCTAACTCTAGATCCTTGGCTATTTGTTTAGCACAAAGAAATCTTAAATGGTGAATACTATTTAAGAGTACCTATGTTCATACTCTCCTCTGAAACTTTCCACCCAAAGTGTGAAGAATGGTTTGAATCTTGGATTACTATGCAATCTTTTATCAAGCATTGCTAAGATAGAAGAGTAGAGCATATAGTCATGAAGAATACAGGCCATCTCCATTAAACTGATGTGGCATGCACAATTCCCTTTGAAAATTTTGTTATGACAGACGCTAAATTCCAGTCAACAACTAATGAATCTTATCATTTATGCTCTTAACTAGCGATCAGTTTCTTATATAGAGTCGGCCTAAGTAATTTTTATCACGGCCATGTAGAAAATACGATATCAAGGATGAGGGAGAGATGGATCAAATATGACTAGATATTTGAATACAAGGAACCCTGCTTTGATTACAAAATAGATATCAATAATGGAATCGAAATGGTTCAGTTATGATAAAATATTAGCTTATTTGCTATTTAGTGAGCAAATTTAGTCTAGCCTAACGATTGTTTAATTTCTTTAATGATTCGATAACATCATGCATTTTGATTTGATGGGGTTTTGGGGTTTTGGGGTTTTGGGG